ATGTTGACTCTTATAAAAAGGAAGCTGTAAGCACTTTTTCAATCACAAAATCAATTAATTTGTTGCGGAAACCTTTGAAAATGGAAAAAATTAAAATCAAGTATGTAAGTAAAAAATCTTGAATAAATTCTAAGAAAATAATTTGACAAAATAATAAAACAACTATAATGGCGTTTTCATTTGACTATTTTAAAATATGATACAAATATAACTAAAATGTTCAAATTGGAATTTGAAATAGTAAATAATATTGCTTTAAGCCTTAAGATATTAATATACATATGTATATTTTATTGCTTTTAGAAACTTATATTTATGTAAAGAGTTTAATTTTCATCAACGATGTTTCCTCAATTCTAAACATTGTTGTTGTTGTTTTATTAAGCCAATCCTAAAGTAATTATATTTGTTTAATGGGCATAAAAAAGGAGAGCATTTTGAGCAATGTTTTTACAATAAATGAATTCTTTTTAATAAATATTGATTTTTATCGCCATTTTAACGAAATTAATAGTTTAATCAAATCATTTTATGTCCCGTTAAATGGTTGAAAATGTGGCTTTTGAAAAATATTATTTTGAGCATAGTAGTATGTATTCCCTTTAATCACGTGCATATTGCAAATCGCCTTGGTAGCAAATTCAGACTTCGTGTGCCACATGAATGAGCGCAACCGAAATGCCATTAGAGAATACCGCATTGTTGTGGCTCGCAACGCAAAGCGCATAAACAAAAGTCCCAAATATGCAAACACAGCGCGGCTAAGCACGCTTAAAATGATGTCGAAACATGCAGACCTACTCACAGAAACAGATACAGATACATTTGCTTATGGCGTACAGATGCATGTACAGAGTTTTGCTTTAAGCTTAGTTGGCATATACTAGTCCGGGCAGGATAGCAAGTACAATAACAACAGGCTGGCCTCCATAGTCGAGCTAGTCATAGTCCGATCAGAAGATGCGTCCACCTCAAATCAACAGTTTACTTTGACGTCGTGGCAGTGCGATGGCAGAATGGGTAAATGGCTTAAAATCAACTGACAACGAATACGGTCGATGACCAAGGGGTATTGAGTTGGCAGACAGACAAACAAGCAGACATGGCAATTACTAATAGCCAGCCCTCGACAATGGAGAAGAAATAGAAATATGAGTTACGTACTACGTTTGGAATATTCGTTGGAAATTTCGCATCCAACATCCTCTGTGTGTGGCTGGATGTGAACAAACGCCATACATACACACATACGAGTATGTGCTATGTACATATACGTAAATGTTGTTGCTGGTGCTGTTGTTAGTTTGCCGAAGGTTCCGTTTTACGAATTGTTTATTTGTTTATCATGCCACTTGTTTGCCCAAATCAAAGCCTTCATTGCAGTTGTTGACCATGCTACAAAATAGGTAACGTGCAACATTTTGTGGCAGTCTGTAGTCAGAACGCTTGCATTGCATAATTGCGCTCAGATTTGGCATGTGATGTATGCTATGTGTGTGCTCTTTTATTTCAGTTCAGCTTTTTTGTGCTCTATGACATGCACACTGACTCTTTTGCAGTTGCATACTTTCAGGCGCAATCCTTTCCGCATACGCACTTACGACTGTCTTTCAGAGAACACTCAACGTTTGATGGACTTGGTACGCCATTTTGGCTGAAATTAGATTAAAGATAAACATACACACGCATATAAAAAATATCAATATCATGTTTGTATTTTTAAACTAAAATAACAAACATACTCGTATCATATTAAAGTGAAAGCAAATATTATCCTTTTGAGTTGAAAACATATCAATTGCAGAGAAAAATAACAAGTATGAAACAATTTGATTTGAAAACATATCAATGTCATCAGATATTTGTTTCTTTTTGTAAAAAATGCGTAAAATTAGAAGGGTCAAAAGCGTAGCAGTTCCAAACAGTATATAAAAAGACATTAGAAAAAATGTTGACAGTCAGTTATTAATAATTGGAAATATATAATGCTAAAACAGGCATATAAAGGAAAATTAATAATAAATGCGAATAATGAAAAATAAATCCGCTTTAAATATCAAATATAAATAAATTATAGAGTAGTGTGAATGAAGCGCCCTTTATTTGTTATAACTTGTGCGTTATAATGATTGGGTGGACAATGGTTTGAAATATGCTTTTATTGCTGTTGTTTTCATGTATATGTATCATTGGCATATACACTTTTTAGCCTTATAGTATTAGTTTGTATTGGCTCAGAATTTAAAAATGTAGGTTGAATTCTCACAGCTCGGTTTCAAAATGTGTTGCAGTTGTAACAAGGAAAACAACAATGCCACACACAATGGCATTCGGCATTTAGGGCACGAATAAAATGCAAATAATCTAAGTGTAATAAAAGTCTGACAAATTTCTGAATATGTTATGCATGTACGATAGCACCCTTGAAGTCACATGGCAATACGCTTGCATGATTTAACATTATTCAAACACATCTGAAATGGCAACAGACCTACTCTTACACAAGCACACACTTACAAGTATATTCAAACAAACATTTACACAGTCTACACAGTTTTGTGCCCAAAAGTGCTATAAGCATATGTAGCGACGAAAATGATCCTGATGATTTACGAGTACGTACTATAAATTAGCCTGCATACTGAGAATTTGTGGATAGGTTCAATTTATAAAAAGAATATTTTAGAGTTATAATGCACACGTAGGATTGCAAAGCTTGGCAGTGATAATTATCCTTGAGTACACACACTCAGAAAAATATTAAGAATTTCTGTTTAACAATAACAATTAAAATGCAAATGTACAGTTTATAACAACCAAGCAGTTAAGAATAAATATGTATGTTGCTTTAGATAACGTTCTAATATATGTCTGGGTACTATTCATGCAATTACTAGTTGTAATGTGAGAATAAGCAAACAAAAAAAAATACTTTTTAGCTATGTCCCTCTTACTTAAATGTGCACGCTGTTGATCATAGTGGGCACGTGTTCCTTTGAATAGAGAGCTTATAAAAAGGACTTGTCTACTGCAAATGAAATATAATTTTAAGCAAACCTCCATTCCTATGAATGACAAGGAAAAGCAAAAAACAGCACAACAAAAAATACAAAGAAAAATGTAAAGACACAAATTTCACGTGGCTGCCAATTTAAAAGCTGTAGCAAAACAAACAGACAAAGTCCCCCATAAGCTGGCAACCAAAACAAAGTCAATAGCTGTAGCAGCAGAGGGCAGAAGAGCTTAAATCATAGTAGTAAGCCAAACTATAAGTTGGCATTGAAGCTGCGCATGGAGAGGACAAAAAAATTGGTGCGCATGCTCAATAGCCAAGGGAGACGTCAGTAATGGACACATATACGTATATAAAGATTTGTATTTGAATAGTTGTGTGTAAGTATTACCTCGACACTCTCTGTATGGGAATTGCGCTCCTGTTATCTACTTGTGGCTCATATAGAGGAAAGCAGAGGATACACTTCCAAAAATAAGTATATTTCAGGACTGCGTGGAATCTATTCTTATGATATCGATTTATTATTGAGAAAAATTATTCTAAAATTTTGTAAATCTACGGCCAGACGTGAAAATAGTTCGTTTGTTACAAGTAGATTTCTAGTAACGTTCAAATAAGTTCTGTGACAGACAACGATTATATACAAGTATTTTAGTATTGATATGGTAGATTATTTTAAATATATATTACTTCTTATTTGATTGTCGTATTCGACAAATTTTTGTGCTTTTTGACATTTTTATTCCAAATACTGCTAAATATTTATAAATGCTGAAAGGAACTTTGAATTTTTCGTACTTTATTGAAATATATTTTTAAAAGGCCTTCATAAAATGACAAAAGACTGTCAAGGCACCTGACAATTGTTTCACTGGACTAAGATCAATCAAAAAGTTCACCTGTACGTCAAGGACTTTGGGTAGAGCCTAATGGTAAGGAGAGAGCGGTAAGAGTGGGGTAAGGAGATATAGAGAGGCAGAGAGAGAGCGCGCTCGACTGAGAGATTTCTCGCTCTTGTTGTATTATATTGGCTCTAACAAGCTCCTTCGTCCCTGGCCCATACTGTGCCAGTGTTTTATTTATGCGTAGACATTCTGGCGCCGCTTGCCACGCTTTTGCACGGCAAAGTCAAAAAGAGCGCCCAAATCCAAATACAGAGGTAAAGTCAAAGTGCAAATGGCAACGTAAACATTTAACCAGAGTGCGCGCTCTTCTCAGAAATGTGTGAAGTGCCGTGGCGAGCGGACGTGCGCTGCTCCTGAATCGAAGAGCTCGACTATTTTTCCTTTTGCTACCCGAACACATACATAAATAAACGCACACACAGAGAAACACAGTCGCACACATGTTGAAAATTATTTAAGCGCGCGCGTTAGTTAAATAAACGAGACGAATCGAATGAGAAGTGAATAAAACAACACGTTTAAAGAATATAGAAGCGCGCGTAAAGTGAAAAATCAATGCTAAGGCAAAGCAAAATTTAAGTTACGCACACACGCACGCAAATTTGTGCAAAAACAAGACAACAAAAGCTTAACAAAGTAAACGTAACCATATTAGTATAAATAAAAAAAGGGGAGAAAACGCGTGGCGCGCTAGCAAGAAACGGTTGAAATAAATGCGAGCAAAGGAAAAGGGCATTAATATTGTAATAAATTTAGCCGTGCGCTTATTTTCGGGCCGAGCTCGGAGCTAAATTTTTAACTGCCTGCCACACATACAATGTAAATATATGTTTGTACAAGTACGTACAAGTATATATGTATGTATGTTTGTCAGGCAGCTGAGGCAGCAGATAAATTGGCAACGAAACGTGCGACAGGCCGTGTAACGTCTAACTGGCCAGTGAATTGCGATTGTGTGCGTGTGCGATTACTTGTTTTTAAACTCGGTCAGAACTAACGGCGCATAGAAAAAATTTAGCCCATGCCTTAGACGACTCAGAAGGGCTCACAAGGCATGCAACAAAAACACGCCGCAGTGGTGGCAGCAGCCGCTTCAACGTGTGCGAGATAAACACGCAAAACAAAGTGAACTGGGTCAGTACGAGCCTGAGATTGCGACTGCGACTGCGACAGAGGCTTGCATGTGCGCAAAAATATGTTGCATACTTAATGGCTGAAGACGGCGAAGTGCAAGGCGGCAAGGCGGCAAGGCGCATTGGGACACAACAATAACAGCAAAAAGGCGGTAAGTGCTGGCACACAAAAGCCGCCCCTCCATGTGTTCTCTATACGTATACATATACGTATTTACAAGTAGATGTGTGTATGTGTGTGAGTGTGGCAAGCTAAAAATATGCTGCAAATCATGACAACAACGCCGCTATGCACATTTCCTTACGCTGTCGAGAGGCCGAACGTCTTCTCGAAATGAAATATAAAACTTTAAGTGCTCTGTGTGTGCCGCACATATCCTTGGTCCTTAAAGAGAACAAACACCAGTTTCAGTAAAATCCGATACGCACATTTACCCTTGAAAACACGTAACTCGAATAGGCGCTGGGAGGGAGGAGGAGTTCAAGTAAATGCAACAAAATAGTGTAGCGAATGAATAACCAAAGCAAACCTCTGCGATAGACGAATAAAAAAGTAAAGCAAAATATTTTTTATTTCTGTCAAAATCAACGAAAGTCCGACATCAACAGACGCTCCAAAGAGTGAGTGCGACAAAGGCAGACGAAGAGAGTGGGAGAGAGCAAGAGCGCGGGCGGCGATGTAAGCAACAGCAAAAGGCAAACGAGAAACAGCAAAGAATAACAGTAAAATAGAATATCCTGTGAAATTCGCGCTTGCAGACAACTTCATGAAAACACACAAACAACCCACACCCACAAACACACGCACACACACACACACACACACACACACACACACACTTGGGCATAGAGTTGAACGCAGCAGTCATGTTTACCCTACAAATGAATTTGCGTCGTAGGGCCCCATCGACACCATTAACGTTTGTTTTCGCCCTGATGTGGGCAATAAATGTTACTCCATTCTTATGGCAGAGTTGCCCATAAAAAGTAAATGAAAGAGTCGGGGCAAGAAAGCAAGCAAGCAGGGGCTTCTGCGAACTAAAACACCCTTTATTGCTTTGTGGCGAAGAAAACATTAATAAAGATCCGGATACGGTATCGCTTAGTTCGGGTTTTTTTTTTAAATATTTGATTAAAATAAATTTTTTATTATAGACAGCGTTTTTTTTTAAATATTTGATTAAATTAAATTTTTTATCAGCATTTTCGCACACTTTCTGTTAAGTTTCGACTTATTGAAACAGAATTGAATTTATGTAATTTTTATAATATTTTAATGTTATTTGTAACTCCAAGTGGTGCAAAAATACTAATATGGGTTTAAATTTAAATTGAATTAAATGAATAAATTGAATTAATTATATTAAATGTGTTTTGGGAACTGATGGGATGAGAGATGCATAAATCAAGTTATAAAGGTTGTAGAACATTTGCTTTTCCCTTTCGAAACAAAATCGAATGACTTCTGAAACGGAAACATGCCAATATACGAGTATGTTTACTTTCTCTAGAACTAAAATATCCTTTTAGAAATGACTTTGCAATTTTCAAAACTAAAAAATTATCATAGGGCATACAAATTTCAGTATTTGCATAATTTAAACCTAATTTGTTGCGCTTTGCCAGTTTCTTTAGCAGATAAAATGATTTCTAGATGGTATTACACATTGAAATAATAATTTATTAAACCAATTTAAAAATGGAATCAGATCTTCAAAACACCGATTCAAAAATTGTTTAATATTTCAATTCCTCAATGTGAAGCTTTGCATAATCTTTCTTTTCGTACAAGCAGGCCGAGAAATGTGAAATACCTCTTGTTTAAGGAGAGTATGCATGGAAATTGTGTTGCTGTTTGTGCCATGGGACGAGCAAGACGGGCCAAAGGGGGAGTTAAATGGCTAGTTAGCCAGATGCACTGCACTGCCATCCTCTGCCCATCCACCTCAACTATGCCCAACTATTCGAATACTTTCATTATCCAACCGGTTGCCTGCCTTGCAGCCATTCCTTATATTCCCGATGTCCTGTTTTTCGTTGTTTGCTCCTGCCTCTTTATTTTAGCGCATCCCACAGCACTGGGCCGTTTGTTTTGTTTTCTTCGTTGCTTTTTGTGCTTTCTCTTCATGTTATTTTTGTGCATGTTCGTGACAAATACTATAGAGCTATATGTACTTATGTGTGTATACACATACTTTCACATGTGTGTATATAATATGCGAGTATGTGTGTGGGTGCGTTCTGAGTGCGTGCTTTGCTGCTTCATATTATCGTTTGTTTTTGTTTCGCTTTCCACACACATTCTGCTTGTTGCCTGGCTAACAGTACCTGCCAAAAGCGCAACGCCTTTATAACTTAGTTGGGTAGGTTACGTGTGAGGGATATTCAAAAAAATGCAATTATAGAGTGTGACAGTTTCGTGACATTTGTTTAGTGGGCCATTTCTATAATGACTTTAGACTTTTATGGCGGCCTAACACTGTCATTCGACGGTTTGTAGGTGTTGCCATTACCGTTAACATTGGCGTTGCTGTTGCCGTTCCCGTTGCCGTTGTCGTTACCGTTGCGCGACCTTGAAAGCCCACAGCGGCGAGCGTAAAATGCAAATCCATTGAAAGCGCACGGCTGCAGTTCAAGGCTACTTTTACGTTACGCAATCGTTGGAACGGACATGACACACTCAAGCTTACGCGCATACTCACATTCACAAATACACACCCACACACTGACTATCAAAGCAGGGTCTGCGTGTGCGTTTTTTGTTTTTTGTTGCATATCCTTGAGTATGTAGCGTGTTGCATGCGTTGCGTTGACATTTGTAGCTGGCGATGACAACTGGATTTTCGTTATGCAATTACGTTGGCAAGACAGGGAAGGAATATACTATACATAAATGAAGACAGAGGGAGGAAGAGAGAAATTGGGAGTTAGCGAGAAATTATAGCAGTGTAAATAACATAATGTAATTGCTTAAGCACTTAAGCTGCCTAAGCCCAACTTCCTTGCATGTGAAGGTCCTTTTATTGGCAAAGCTTTCAATATTTATGTACACAGAGAGAAAAAATAAATGAAATATTTTAGTAGTTTGCTCAAAATAACATTATAAAATAATTCCCTTGAGCATATCGATTTAAGGAAGTGATATGGAAATATAAAAAAATTTAAAACATATTTCTGATATGCTCCCTTATACATACATGGAATAATATGATAAATATTGATATGATTCATGTGCACACTTATTTTTTTCTCTGTACACATTCATGTAGTGCATATGTATATAATGACCACTCGTAATTTTGTGGCTTTTATTACTTTTATACGCAAGTACATTTGAAAACTTTGGCCCATGCATGTTCGACTATACATACATACATACATACATATATGGATATACGTATATTGTTAAGAATCACTCGCTTCTTGAACATTAATGTTACCATTGGCTTTGTCATTGGCTGATGGCATTACCGTTGCCTTTGCCTCAATGTCACCTGCATATTTGAGAAGGTTTGTTTAATCGAAGCGAACTTTGCTCATATGAGGGTCGCCATCGTTGTATGTATGAAACTACTAAACACTACATACAAGTATAAGAGTATGTATGTTTATCCTATATAGGTACGTGGGCGTGGAGACTTTGTCGTCGTGTTCTGCGCTGTTCATGAATATGACATAAATATCACGTTCAGTACTTAGCCCTATTGTAGTTCTTGGAGCTGAGCTCCTGCAGTGTGCCACCAAATTTTAATTTGTACACTTTTTTCCTGTCTTGTAGCTGCATCATGAATAACTCATTAACAGAAAATTACTTTCACGTTAATATGATGGAAAATGCACTTTAAGCAATTTCATTAAATAGCTTCAACACTTACTCATACACACACACCTACTTAATTGCATCGCTGATTGATGTGCAATAATTTTATTTTTGCATACAAAAGCCATAATATGGGCAAGACGTGTACGTGTAACTCTTTTGATATGAAAAATGTAGCATGCTTAATGGCTACACTATTTTTCTTAAGAATGTACTTTTATTTTATTTACTTATTTCATTTTATTTTATTAAACTGTTGCGAAAATTTGTGCGTCATTTGCTTAATATTTTGTGTAATTAAATAAGTTCTGTTTAAGTGCTCTTTTAAAATATGTACTATTCATATGAAGTTGGTGACTATTTGCTGACTAACAATTAGAAATTGAAACGTTAATATTGTTATATGAGCGAAAAGCAGAAGCAGAAGAGAAGAACAAATAATTCCTGTGCTAATAATTCTTAAAATTAGCCAATTGGATAAAATCAGAAGCACAGGAAACTGAACTATTTGGTTAGGAGAAATATGCAAACAAATAAAATAAACTCGTCTTGTCTAAAAATTAGGAGACCCCACTTACAAATTTCAGACTCTGTCTCGGCATGCTGATTAAGAACATAGGTATGTTCTTACAAACATATGTATACTTCATAGGGTCGCACAAACCTAATATATACATATATGTATGTATGCTCTTTATACCTTTCGTTAATAGGGTTTAAAATATTCTAAATTTTGTTGCTGCCCTTAAGTTGATTGCGATAATCACCTTTTGCAGCTTTCAATTATTGTAATTGTAACCATTATATTTGTAGTATAAGTCGCGTAATTTCGTCCTTTTTTATCATTGAATAATTTTAAGTGAACATTTGTGAATGACGTGAAGGTCTTGCTATTCTTAATGAGTGGCTGTGTTTTTTGTGTGCCCGTGGGCTATAGTTTTATCACCATTCTACATTCCGAAAGCTTCTGATATATTGCGACACACATTGTTTTGAAATGTGCACACATACATACATACATACTATGCATATGTGTGTATGCATGTATAGTGCCTGACGCCATTTAAAAAGCAAACAAAAACACAAAAAAGGCGCCGTTTAACATGCACGTGTTCGTGCTTCGACCTCAGAGCCATTCCTATTTCTACATATGTATGTATGTAGGTATGTATGTATTTCTGCATGTACATAAAAAAGTGCAGGAAAAAGTTTACGAAGTCGACTGCTTTTTATGTTTGCCTCTCCTACTCACTTCTTTTGCTTTTTGCACACTCTAGCCACTAATGATCAACGAGTGAGAGAGCACGAGCTGCAGCTGCTCTTTTTGTTATT